CGAGCTCTGGTGCACCCAGCACAAGAAGGATGTGGACTTGTTGGAGCGTGTCCAGAGGAGGGCAATGAAAATGATGAGACGGCTGGAGCACCTCTCTTATGAAGGCAGGCTGGGGAAGTTGGGGTCACTCAGCCTGAAGAAGAGAAGACTCCAGGGGGACCTTATAGTGACCTTCCCATACCTGTAAGGGCCCTATGAGGAGGCTGGGGGAGACCTGTTCACAAGGGCATGTAACAATAGGAGAAGAGGTAATGGTTTTAAGCTAGAGAAGAGTAGATTTATGTTGAATATTAGGAAAAAGTTCTTTGATATGAAGGTGGTGGATCACTGGAACAGGTTACCTAGAGAGGTCGTGGGTCTTCATCTTTGGAGACATTCAAGGTTAGGCTTGATGGGGCTCTGAGCAATCTTTTCTATTTGGAGATGGCCTTGCTTATAGTAGGGGAGTTGGCCTAAATGACCTTCCAATCCAATGCATTCTATGATCCTATAATCCAGATGGAATAAACATGCAAAAGACAGGCTTTTAAATTCAAACAAGTTTTGTTATCCTATGACAGATAAGTGAAATGATAAACATTTCCCTCTGTCTACCCCTTTGTAGTGTTGCTGTTATAATCATAGAATCATAGAATGCCAGGTTGGAAGGGATCTCAAGGATTGTTATTATTATATTTATTATTGTCATAACCAATAATTTTTTTTTCAATAATCATAATCAGTAATTTTTCACTTTTAGTCATTAATGGCACTTATTTTCTATGTATATTCAGACCAAATTCCTAGCTTTCTCATGCTCTCTGGGAGAATTCAATGTTTCCACCACCACTGCTTTAGGCATAATCATTACCTCTCTAATACCAGCGTGACTGAATGACTCTCACCATATTGACTCAGCTTCACACAACTTGTTTGCAAGACCTGTATTCTGCCTGTTTTTTTTCCCATTTTAAACTACCAAGATGCCTTTGAAAACCAGTCCTGTTCAGGCAGCTACAAAGTCAACAATCTTGCTTAATTGGGAGGCCAAAAATTGATGCAACAGGCCAGACCTTGGTCTCATTTACACTTACACCAAATGTGGATCCATTCTCCGTAATGTGAGTTGTGGCTTTGCCTTAGTTCTGAATCTCAGGAACCTTCACAATATGTAGTTGTCTAACCTCTGGCATGTAGTTTTGAAATAGCTTAGCCACAGTTTTCTGAAGAGGTTTGATTTAGTGTGATAGAGATTGGAAACTGAAGAGAAAAAAATTATCCTGGGGAAAAAAGAAAATGTGTCTTGTAAAAATGCCATTTTCAGAGCTTGAGATATGGTAGTTAAGTGTAAATGCAGAATAAATGTTTCTTCTTTAAGCCCTTTAGTTATTCCTCAGTGGGAGGCAGGGTAACAATAGGAGAAGAGGTAATGGTTTTAAGCTAGAGAAGAGTAGATTTATGTTGAATATTAGGAAAAAGTTCTTTGATATGAAGGTGGTGGATCACTGGAACAGGTTACCTAGAGAGGTCGTGGGTCTTCATCTTTGGAGACATTCAAGGTTAGGCTTGATGGGGCTCTGAGCAATCTTTTCTATTTGGAGATGGCCTTGCTTATAGTAGGGGAGTTGGCCTAAATGACCTTCCAATCCAATGCATTCTATGATCCTATAATCCAGATGGAATAAACATGCAAAAGACAGGCTTTTAAATTCAAACAAGTTTTGTTATCCTATGACAGATAAGTGAAATGATAAACATTTCCCTCTGTCTACCCCTTTGTAGTGTTGCTGTTATAATCATAGAATCATAGAATGCCAGGTTGGAAGGGATCTCAAGGATTGTTATTATTATATTTATTATTGTCATAACCAATAATTTTTTTTTCAATAATCATAATCAGTAATTTTTCACTTTTAGTCATTAATGGCACTTATTTTCTATGTATATTCAGACCAAATTCCTAGCTTTCTCATGCTCTCTGGGAGAATTCAATGTTTCCACCACCACTGCTTTAGGCATAATCATTACCTCTCTAATACCAGCGTGACTGAATGACTCTCACCATATTGACTCAGCTTCACACAACTTGTTTGCAAGACCTGTATTCTGCCTGTTTTTTTTCCCATTTTAAACTACCAAGATGCCTTTGAAAACCAGTCCTGTTCAGGCAGCTACAAAGTCAACAATCTTGCTTAATTGGGAGGCCAAAAATTGATGCAACAGGCCAGACCTTGGTCTCATTTACACTTACACCAAATGTGGATCCATTCTCCGTAATGTGAGTTGTGGCTTTGCCTTAGTTCTGAATCTCAGGAACCTTCACAATATGTAGTTGTCTAACCTCTGGCATGTAGTTTTGAAATAGCTTAGCCACAGTTTTCTGAAGAGGTTTGATTTAGTGTGATAGAGATTGGAAACTGAAGAGAAAAAAATTATCCTGGGGAAAAAAGAAAATGTGTCTTGTAAAAATGCCATTTTCAGAGCTTGAGATATGGTAGTTAAGTGTAAATGCAGAATAAATGTTTCTTCTTTAAGCCCTTTAGTTATTCCTCAGTGGGAGGCAGGGAGGTAGATGCGAATTATTTCCAAGCTACATAGTCCCACAGTAAACCAAGTGATTAGAAATGACAATGAATTAAAGATTGAAGCTTTTGGGGAGTTATAAGGAATTTCATTTTGATTTACAAAGACTTCTTGTAGGCTCAAGTGTATTACCTAAATACTTTTTCTCCCTTTTGGACCCACGGATTACTTACCCACAGGCAACAAGTGGCATTCAACAATAGAAACATAGTGTTGCTTTTTTATAATTTGCTGTCTTACTCATTTTGCATGACCACAGAACTCTTTTCTGAAGAAGCTGAGCTTTGATTTTTGAAAGTAGCACAGATATTTTGCATTCATTTTGCACATCATTTGAATGTGCAGTTATATTAACAAATGTGGCTCTTCTGTGATCACATGGTTATAGCATGTAAGCCACCTTGTAATGTTAACACTAGAATGTGTGGAAGACTGTAACAGCCAGCAGAATGAGCTGTGGGACTGACTGCCTTTTCAGCTGAATCTCACAGCTAATTTGGTAAAGCAGGTAGGAGTTACCCTAGTACAGACCAACATCAGAGGAGAATTAGATCCAGTGTAGACACTGACACTAAATGCATGATGTATAGGCAAAGTATGATGTCATTTTCCTTTTTTTTTTTAATTCTGATCTAGAAATATAATTTAAAAAATGTGAAGGAAGTCCTGTTTTCTCACTGTGCCAGTTGTTGACCATCAGGAAGGGTGATTCAGTATTCCATCTTCAGTAATAAAAATACAAAGCCGCTGAAGTCAATATTGTTTTGAGCATGTGTTATTGAAAAGAAGCTCTAAGTGAAAAAATCCTCACAGCACAGAAATCCAAGTGTAGCCATGCAGGGGAAGAAAAACACAAAACAAACAAATGAAAAAAACCTACAGTGATGTGATTTTCTAGTAAATCCTGTGCTTACTGGGAAAAAAGACCCCAGGAATGAGGCTAGACGTGCACTTGCCCGAGCAGTGAGGTATCAAAATACATTGGCTCAGCAGAGGGGGGCCAGGCAGGCAACAAGCAGGAAACAGGCACTGACCCCACTCCATGGGAGTCCCCAGGGTGCACCCCACACTCAACCTCATTCACTGCCCATCTCTCAACAGCCTCAGTAGGAAGGCAGGGATGATGTCAGTTCCCTGTCCTACAAGAAACGCACAAGTGAAGTGTCTGAGCCTGGCTCACTGCAATTGCTCCCAGCTCCTCCAGTCTGCCTCTATCTGGCTTGAAATTGGCCACTTCATGGACCTCTTCCCCTGAAAGCAGTCCTGTCAAGGCTCGGGTTTTGTCATGGATTGATGAAACCTTCCCTGAAGTGTTTCTTTCAGATATAGCATTTCACTGAATGAAGTCAGCAGTGTGTACATGGCTTTAACTTATCAAATAACCACGAGCTACATGAGTACTTTCAGATGCAGAATCCTCTGACTAATATTCCTGTCATGTCTGACTAATAAGGGCTGGTTAAAATGTCAAGAGGTTTTTTGGGTTTTTTTACTACCTGGTTTCTTACTCAATCTCACAGTAGATGATAATGAACTGACATGTTGTTTGCTCTTTACGTTTATACAGTCCCATGGGGATAAAAGAGTTGCTGCAGCTTAACTGCTTCTGCATGGTTTAGGAAGTCTTAGGGATGTATGAATAAGAGTGACTTTTCCTGCCTGGAAGCAAGCAGACTCAGCTCTGTCATTAAGAAGTAGGTCCACATTGAAGATAATGACGAACTACTGCTGCTCAATTGAGAGAAGTCTGCTTCTGTAAGGCAGAGTTTCTCCTGGAGCTCCCCTACCTGAGGTGCTGAACTTTTCCACTGCCAGTGAAGGAGACCAAGGTCAGACCCATCCCATCCCCACTGCCCCACTCAGGGACAGGGAAGGAGTTCTTCCTGTGCCCTCTGAGCACTGGCCCATGGAGGTGAGAGCAGCACTCCCTGGGCAAATGAGTGGGCATTGGTAAGGGAGCAGGCTTAGAACTTTCACATACCTCTGGAACTACCCCTCACCCATAAATCCTGGCCCTCCACTGGTGGTCTGGCTCCCCAGGGTAGCTCCAGAGCCTGGGTGCTCCTTCAGTGGCTCCTTCAGTCATGCACAGCTCTCATGCCTAGGCCTTTCTAAATAGCAATGAGATTTTGCCTGATGTTCATGAGACAGAAAGATCACCCATAAGACTATTGCACAACAGAGCATAATCCAATATATGTTTAAAGGCAGCAATAGCCTAAGGAAGAGCCTGGGGGAGAAATGTCGATAATGGAGTGGCTTTCTTTACATAAAATGCATGCATAAATGTGTATAAAAAAACATGTAGGCAGACCAAAGAGCAATGTCAATAAATACTCCACTGCAACTGACTTCCCCATCAGTTCTTTCAGGTCATTTGTTAAATGCATGGAAACTATTGATTTTGTCTAATTAAATAATTGTTGTGCATCTCACAGGGACAAACGCCAAGCACGGACTGCGCTGCAAGGCTTGTAAGATGAGCATCCACCACAAGTGTGCAGACAGTATTGGACAGCAGCGCTGCATGGGCAAGCTGGTAAGTGAGCAGCTCAGGGCAGCAAGTGTGGTGGGAGGCACATGCTTGTGCTGCAGCCACTTGCTCTGTGTGCCTGATCCCCTGGCAGGCCCTTAGCTGGTACATTGAGAGACCTCACACCAGGTCACTTTACTGAAGTGAGAAAAGTGAAGCCAGGTGGTGCCCTCATACCAGTTTGGGGCAGTTGCTGCTACTCAAAAACCTGAACAAAAATGGAACACAAATCTGGTCTGCTTTGGGGATATGAAACGAGTCACATAATCAAAATTGCACTAAGTGTCAGAATTCATTCCCTTGATCTAAATGGTGCTTGCTGTAGTACAAATCTCTCAAGGAACTCTATAAATTAATCAAAATACTGGGGTGGATTTTAACAAATGAAAAATCCTTCAAATTATGTTTTATTGTTTTTTCCACTGTTAGGACTTGATGCAAAACCATAATTCATCTTAAAAATAAAACCAAAGCATATTTCACAAATGGGGCACTAAAGAGTTGAAGCAATCTCTTCATAGGAGTGACTGAGAGGAGACCTGCTTCTGTATGGACACAGAACCTCAGTGCCCAGGTCACCTTCTGAGCAGCAAATTCTCATTATTGGTTACTTGTGGAAAAAGAACTTGGAAAAATGACCATTTGAAATATGAAAACAGAATACATATCTTCATGTTTCATATGTTCTCATATTTATTGCAGCCTCAAGTCACTTGAGACAAATATGAGCTAAAACCAAACTGTGTTAAATGATGAAAATAATCAAGCATTGACTTCAAAGGGGTAGAGAACCCACCTGTCTGTGGAAAGATCTTTTCCCTCCAAGAGTATTCAGTGAATGTTACTGCTGTTTAAACACCTGTGAAAAATCTTGATGCATTTGAACCATAATCACAGCCCTACTGTGAGGCATTCTGGTATAGGAAGTTGGTCTGTTAAGAGCTGAATGACCTCGTTGCCAGACTTGCACAAGCCAAATATTAAATCATGTGAATTGTTTCACACATTTCTGTATTCCAGCCTCAGCTCTCATGATTATTAGTATACAAAAGCAGAAAAGTTGAGCCCAAACCTAAAGCAGGAAATGGTCCAGCAAAGTCATGGGAGTCTTATGAGCTCACGTGTCTGAATCTGTTTTGTTTGGAGACAAACTGAGGCTGGGGAATCTAGAATTTGTTCCTCTGAGAAACCAAATTTTTCAATCCCCTCATTCCTTCTGAATCCATACTGCAGTTCATGAGCAAAAGAACAAGTTGTATATAATTTTTTTATATATACTGAACATAGGACACAGAAAATATGCACATCCCCATGAGGCTTTTCCACTTCTCACTGTGGCTGAAAGTTCTCACAGCCCACAAAAATTAGAAATCTGAGAGACCTTTTGTGACTTTCCAATACCTTGAAGGGCATTTCCAAAGACTTAGATGTTAGCATATTCAGTTTTGGTACTCATCTGGTGACAACTTGGGGAGTTTTTTGACCTTATAAGGTAAAAAAACAAAAACAAAACAGTGGAAGCTGCGGTCAGTCAGCAGCAAAACTTAGAAAAACCTATAGAAAAGCTCTAAATTCCTTGAGTTTCACAAGTGTATACATGGGAACCTGAGGATTTGGAGTTATGGAGATATTTGGAGTTATGGTGGGGAAGAATAGTTTCATGTTTAGCAAATACAAAACAATGCAATTTCACATTACATAAGAAGAAAGGGAGAAGGAAACTTCCCAGAACCTCGAATGATTCAGCACCTCTGCTGCAATTAATTATCACTGCTTTTACGTAAGACAGAAGAAAAAGAGGGCCTGAAAATTAGTCCCTCCTCCTTCCACATAAATACAGGAAATTGTTTTTTCCAGGAGAAAAGTCAAACAAAGCCCTGATCTATAAACCCTGCAGTGACTCAAGAACAGGAGGCAAATTTCCAGCCTCACTGCCCGGTTGCACAACTAGCAGAAGAGCTGAGGTTATTTCTACTCCACCAGTGGTGGCAGCAAATGCACTTCATTTGTTTTTGCTTTCTCTCCCTCCAGCCAAAGGGATTTCGACGGTACTACAGCTCACCACTACTCATTCATGAACAGTTTGGCTGCATCAAAGAAGTGATGCCTATTGGTAGGTTTTGATTGCTTTTCAGTTCAGTCTCCCTTTGGCAGTGCTCTGCAACAGCAGCGGCAGACTTCCAGCCCTGGTATTTGCCCTCAGCAGCCTTCCAGCTCCTTTCAGTGACTGGATGTCCTTCTGCCATCTCAGGAAAGGACCACTTCAAAGATACAAAGCTGGAAGAGGAGAGGGTGTGTTTATTGTGCATTTCACTCAAAACCCCATACATACAACCTGTCAGTGATCACCCTGTTTATAGTAATAAGTACCTGAGCTCAAGATAGGAACTTAATAGGGAGGAAATACTGGAATACTGAGGTGAATATCTGAGCTGGGAAGAAAAAGATGAAGGACAAAACAAGCTTGAGACGTTCAAACCACTGGTCTGGATTTTAAGGGACTAGGTTCCTGTCATTTTTCAACCACATTTCTTTCTGCATAGTTTTCCTAATTGACCATGTATACATATTGTCCAAGTATTGAAAAGACCAAATTTTGCTCTCTGTAATAGCAAACTCCTGAAAAGAAACATTTTGAAGTGGAGAAGTTGAGTTGATTCTGAAAAATATTTCTGCCCACCAATATTCTGATCTGGCAAGCCCAGCAGTACAAAAAGTGAAGAAGCCAAATCTAGGCAGTCAGTTTAAATGTCTGGTCTGAGTACGTTCACTTTGTTGTTTTCAGCAGTTAAAAAAAGAACAAAAATAACTGTAATCTAAGTTTCTCTTTCTAAAAATCATCTGTCATTTTTTTGTCAGAAGCAATAGAAACATTCTTAACAAACTGGCTAAAAAATGAGGTGTGTTTTTCTCTCATCAAAATTCAAAATCCCATGTATTTTCTCAGTACTTAGGCTATAATTTATCTTCTTCCACAAATTTCTACAAATGTACTATATTCTATGTGTCTAGTGCCTTGTATGTCAATGAAGGCTGAGGTATAATAAGGAGGTATGTAGAAGAGGATTTGAACCAGATTTGCTCATTGGAGACATCCGTTTCTGTACCATGGGAGGTGACTTTGGGACCAGCTATGAGAGAGGGAGTGAGAATTGAACCAATGGCCATGGGGTGGTGGCCTTCTGGCTACCCCTAGGCTGAGCTGAGCAACATGGAACACATTCCCAACAAGAAGCACCTACTCACACTTGCCTTCAGACCCCATATGGCCCCACAGGGGGATGTCAGTATCTTTCAAGGAAGACCCAGGCCATCCTGTTTATCCAAATTAGCCAAGTAGTAGCACTGTGAGGGTATATGGATAAAGGTGATAGCCCACTCATACCACAAAGATCCTCAGGGGTTTTCCTTTCAAGCATCTACTTTTGAGAGCAATCCAAGAGGTCAGTAGTAGGAACAGGCAGCAAACATGGATTAAATCTTCCTGCTACTTTGTCTTCCTTGCCTCAGTGTAGGAAGCATCAGCAGTGAGTAGAGAAGGAGGGCAGCAGGTGAAGATAGACAAGGTAATGGCAGGGACCTGAAGTGTCTGCATAAGGGAAAGATGGTCTTTGTGGGAGCAGAGAGGCAGCAGAAAATTAGCTGAAAGACAGCAAAAGCCAATTCCACTAAGTTAATAAAAGACTTCTTATGAGGATAGTCTCTCAACTTGTATTTCTAAACATACCCTTGAAAATCTTGGTAGAGGCAGGTGCTTCTTCAAGTGGAGCAGGAACGTGACCAGAAATTTCTTCAAGGGACTGATGTAACTTTTGCTCCCTCTGTTGCAGCCTGTGGAAATAAGGTCGACCCTGTGTATGAAACTCTCCGCTTTGGGACTTCCTTAGCTCAGAAAACCAAAAAGGGCAGTTCTGGAAGTGGGTCTGAGTCTCCCAACAGAAACTCTGTAAGTATCCCCCATTTTTCTTTCATTTTCTTTGAGGAAGAGCAGCAAATATTAATTCACAGGAGTTTGTATCAGAGTCCACAAAATTGTGTTTCAAACTGTAAAAAAATAATCTCCCTCCCAGCTTCCAAAATTGGACCAGAAAATATGTTATTTTTGCAAACTTGGGGTTTAAGACTCTTTTAGGAAGCTCTTGAGAAGAAGAGAAAAATACAAGTTAAATAAATAATCTTTTATCAGATTGGAAAAGGAAATTATGTTATTTTGAAAATATTATTTTATCAGATTGGAAAAGGAAATTATGTTATTTTGATTTTGCATATCTATGTAAAAGTGGAACAGAGATTTTTAACAGTCATGCTGGAGAAGACGTGCCCTGCCTGCTGGCAGTGGTGATCTTTTACCCTTCAAACAAGTGATGGCAGTGGGTTGGAGTCCTCAGAGGCTAGATTTAAAAGTACAAGCTCCACAGTACAAGCTCAGCCAAAATTAAGTCACTGCTGCTGCAATTAGACAGTGGACTGGCCCCTCTGCCTGTGCCCAGCTAGGACTAAGGAGGGAGGCATCACAGATTTGGGCTTGTCTCTCCAAAACACAAATGCAGGCAGGTGTGCTCAGTTTGTTGTACTTGGACAGGGAGATCTTCACCTTTGTGTTAAACCTTCTCATTCACTCTCCCCTATAATAAAAGTCACTTTCTTCAGGACTAAGGCAGAAGAGCTGGAGAAGGACAAAGGAAGCGGTAGTTCCTTTAGCCTTGCCTTTGCTAAATCCATACCTAGTTCAACAATAACACCAATATCTTTCTTACAGAAATTATTATTTCAACAATATTTGGACCTGTGAGATGAGGAGCTCATTCATGGTCTTGAAGGAACATTTCATACCCTCTCACTTCTCAAAAACAGGCACTGAACCCTGTGCTTGGGGCTCTCTTTTTTCCCAAGAGATCTTCCCAACTTGCCTCCCTTTGCCAAAAAAAAACAAACCACAAAAAAAACCCTAAAAAAACCCACACTAAAAAAAACCCACAAATAACCAAAAAAACAACAAACAAAAAAAAAAACCCAGCAATCAAACCAAACAAAAAACATGATGAGATTTTCTCCCCAGGCCTTAAAGCAGGCACTTAAATGTTTAATTTAAAGTTGTACTGAAATCTGATTGTGTTTGGTACAGCATTTCCCTGGCACTTAAATGTATGCTTACTCATATGGCTGAACTGTAACCTCAGGTGGTATACGTGGCCTCTAAACAGATGTATATTTGTGTCAGATGGGAAGAAAGACAGACAAATTTAAAAAAGGATTAAGTGAAACTTGCAAGGAAGTTATTAAAGGACATGTCCTCTATCTACCTTTATTCATGCCTTAAGAGGAATTTGGTAATTTCTATTCTTTTTTTAAATCCAAAGTGACTCTACCACCTGTCACTGTGATTACAATTCTTTCTTTCAGTTATTCAATTTACTTTGAAACAGAAGTTCTACAAATGTAATTATTGCATTCTAAATCAATAAGGCATTATGCTGAATTATAAATGGCAACTCAAGCATAGAAATCACGAATGCTGTGTCAGCTTGCTCTAGGGAGCTGATCATAACTAAGTAGGGAGTGGGTGTAGAATGAGGAACACAAGTTCATTATGGGAATTTCTCCAGGGTATTGAGGCTGAGAGAGAATACAACATGTGTCAGTATACAGAAAATAGAAGGCATTAGAGAACTAGATAAACAGATGTAAAACCATAACTTCTATCCAGGCAAGCCTGTGGATCGAAACAAGGATTAAAACCAGGGGCAGCAAAACAACCCTGATCTAACCCAGGCCAACCCTGATGTGTGACTCAGCAGCAGGCACTCACCAGAACAAGGACACGACACAGAGCCCTTAGAGTCCAGGTAAAAATGCAGCAGAGCATTTGAGCTGGCAGCACATGTGCAGTTAATAACAAACACGGACAAATATATTTCGTCAGTGGTTCTCGCTTCTGTGCTGCTCTGCTCCTCTCCAAGCAGAAGCAGCGATGCAGCTGTGAGGCTGACAGAATCACTAGGACTTTGCAGCTGGTCTATGCCCCAGCCCTGGGAGCTGGGGAGTGCTTCAAGGTTCTGCCAAGTCACCAAACCAGGCATTCCAGGGACATGGCAACACCTGGCATCCTGCTTCACCTCGCAGGTGGTGTCCAAGCTGTCAAAGGGCTAGCCCTGGGTTCCTGATGAAGGTATTATTAAAAAGGTGATTAGCCTACAAGCCATGCCTCTACAGCCATGAAGCTTTGAGGACTGCAGTTCATGTGTCTGTGTGAAGCAGAGATAACTGTCTTGCTCTAGCCAAGGTATTTTTAACATGACTGAGCAGTGTGGACACACCCACTGTGATTTCTCATCTTGGATTCTGCATTTCCCATAAAAGAAAGTGGCCATATGCTCCAGATTTACTACCTACTGCTTTCTTCAAGAATGTGCTTCTGCAACCCACATTTATACAAAAAGTCACTTGAGGTGATGTAAATGTGATTCCAGTTTTTGTTAGTTTTTCATGGATCAGATCTTCTCAAAAGCAGCTTTGTATCTCTATCATTTCTATTAGACCATTTGTCATACAGCCCTTGACTGAAAAGTCATTAAAGGTAACTGAGGCTACTTCAGGAGGTTTTAGATGAGGTATATACTGAAGAAACAGATACTGCACACCCATATGAAGTATGAAGCTGGTTTATGAAGACTGAAGAACATGCTGTAGCCATGAGCTGAAAAATAACTGAGAGTTACCATTGCAGCAAAATCAGTCTTTCCCTTCTCCATTCAGCAGCTAGAAATCCTTAGACATGCTCTACACCGACCCCGTGCAAGCATTGTTATTGCAGTGCATTGTCACCCAGAGGTGACCCACTTGTGCAAGATGCAAAACAAGCATGACCTGCTGCACAAGGCTAACAGAGCAGTAAAGTAGAAGGCTCTTCAAACAGCAAGGGAAACAAGATAACCACAATATATCTGTGGCACAAATCTACTTTTAACCTCTTTGTTCATTAGCATCTTTAGATGGAGGAGTAGCTAGAAAAGTATTAGATAAAAAAAGCTTTTTTGTCAGCACTAGTAAAAGCAGAAAAAATGTATAAAAATCTATAAAGCAATTCAGATTTTGTGATGCCTGAACAAAAGCAGTGAACATTCCTCATTTGGCTTTTCTTCCTGCAATGTAGACAAAGGTCTGCAAAGCAATGGACAGAGCTATGTGCACATTATAATTATAGGCTGTCATGGAATAATTAAGTCCTCTCAAATGTCTTAAAATTCTGTTAACTGGAAATAAATAAAGTGTAGGAGCATATAAGAATTTAGAGCTTTTCAGATTAGAGAGACCACCTGACCCAAGTTCAATGTTTGTGAGGTTTATGGTTATTTTACCCAAAACAAATCACATGTGGGGAGTTCAAAAACAAAATTTCGTAAGATCAGATGCAGACAGAGTTGTTTGGAGCAGCTCCTGGTTCTTGTCAGGCTATACAAGGGAAGTCAACTATCCAACCAAGGAATCTGGTGCTTTATGCACAATATACTTCTGAGCCTTGGAATTATGTCATCCCACATTTTCCTACACCCTAGAACAATGGGTCCCTAATAATGATTGGCATTAATATGGTACAAATAAAAAAATATAGTAGCTCTAACAACGGTATTTCCTAACCATGCCAGCCAGATGACTGTTTAAAAAGAGAAGGCAGATATTTAAAGACCAACTTTCCTCCATCAAACTCCAGCTTCTTCTTTCACAGTGTGTTAACAGAATTAAAATCACCATTACATTGCAGTTATTTTACTGAGTAATGTATTCAGGGTTAATAAATTAATAGTCAATAGTTTCAATTAATGTCCAGTCTCCTTGGTAGACAGCTATTTGATATACCTGCAAGATGTACAAGTTCCCCCAACCCCTTTCTATTTTATACAGAGAACCATATTAACATAATCCTTTGGTCCTTAAGTTTCACTTCACTTTACTTTATACTGCAGAAATCTTTTGTAGTCCAGACTGAAAAATTGGTCTGGAGTTCTTTCTGGGCTTCAGCTGCTCCCTGTGAAGCAGGTATTTGTTGTGCATCACCAGATACAATGTTTTCTGTAATCCCATTATGCTGACTTGCTCTATTCTGGTAGAACACAAGTACTACATTCCTCAAAAGCTCTTGTATGGTCTTATTTACCTCATTGCTCACTTTTTCTGGCTTATCCCATCTCATTTGTTCTTTCTGTCCCTGCAGACAGCTGACCTGGCAGAAGTTCCTGAGGAAGGCGGTAGCTTTGCAGGCACCCTTGATGCAAGCAGGAAACGCAGCAACAGTGGTGAGTGTTAGGCCAGGATAGCATCTTCAGATGTATGTGCCTGTGTACGACCTGTTTCAGATTGTTTTGGGGGGTTTTGTATGACATGTCCATGTTTTAACAGTATTCTGATTTTCAGAGTGGGAGGTAAGTGGGGCACGTGCTGGTGCAAGAATTTGGGGAGTGCTTTTTGCCATTCAGGTGAAATCCAAGCCACCAGTTTTTTAATTTGTTGCGTCCAGACCGGACAAGGTTCAGGTCCATTCCCTATGTCCTGTGCTTCATGAACATGGCTGTAGACTAATCCCTTAACATACTTCAGATCCACATTGGGAGAGTGGAGCAAAAATAATACTTCTCTTCCATATGTTTGCCTATGTCTCTATATAGCCATCCTCTTTAGGACAGGAAATGAATCATACAATATCCATGTGTCTGTAGAATACCCAACATGATCAATCCTGGTTATAATTGCAGCTTCTCAGTAGAACTATAGAATGTGCCCAGTAATATTAAGAGCTCAATTCCTTTGTCTGCTTTGTGGTGCAAGAGTAATGTTTTTACAGTATTAGTGTGATGGGATTTTGAGACCAATTGAGAGCTTAGTAATGAAATCTTAGCCACTGAGGAATGGTGTTTGTGACCCTGTTCTTGAAATCAGCCATAATGAGGGAAGCAATAGAGTACAAAGGGGTTTGGAGCACTAAGCAAAATTTCAGGCCCAAACCACCTGAGCAACTTCTCTAACGGCACCTGAAGGCTGCTTTCCTCAGTCTCATTGGAGATGTTGTGGTATGTTGACCCTGGCTGGATCTTAGAATCACAGAATCTTAGGGGTTGGAAGGGACCTCGAAAGATCATCCAATCCAAGCCCCCTGCCAGAGCAGGGTCACCCAGAGCACATCACACAGGAACGTGTCCAGGCAGGTTTTGAATGTCTCCAGCGAAGGAGAATCCACAACCTCTCTGGGCAGCCTCTTGCATTGCTCTGTCACTCTCACAGTAAAGAAGTTTGTTCTGATGAAGTTTGTTCATCAACATTCATTGCTGATGGGCTTGAGCTTGGGCTTGGGTTCGATCTTGGCCTAGGGCTTCGGCTCGGCCAGTGGTGGGTCCATCTTGGAGCCAGCAGGTGTTAGCTCTGTCAGACACAGAGGAAGCTTCCAGCAGCTTCTTGCAGAAGCCACCACTGTAGCCCCCCTGCTACAAAAACCTTGTCACACAGAGCCAATACAGATGTGCACCACAGAAATAATTTGCAGTGAGCATAGCTTTCTTCTGCTAGATCCCCAGTGCTCCTTACATGCTGCTAGCAATTCCAGTAAGTGAAATGCCAGCTTCAGCTGTCCATTCCCATTTTGTGCTACCTCCTTCCTCCTTTCCTCTTGTAATGGTCTTAACAGTTGTCCTCACTGCGTTCAGTCATTTCCTTCCTCTCATTTTGTGAGCATCCCATCTGTATTAACTGCTTTCTCCCTACAATTTTTTAGGTTTTTCTGCCTTGCAAGTGCAAGTTGACCTGACCTGGTGAAAGATAAACAATTCAGTCTGCTTTACATTGTTTAATTGTGCCTACCAGAGATAAGTTTGGCCCTGGTTTGGTTTCCAGATAAGTTTTTGCTTCATTGTCCATAATTTCTGAAACCCAAAGAAACTTTTTTCTCTGAGATCTGCATTCACTGAATGCACTAAGAGGCATTCAAGAAACTTACTCAAAGAGATTAGTTTAAAAACTCAGTATGTGTCAAACCACCAAAGAACTTCTGTGGCACATTAATGATTCCTTTGATCAGCACTGGCTTTTTTACAATCCATCCTTCAGAGGCTCAGGCTATAAATTATGCATCAGTCACTCCAAAAATTTCCCCTTGGTAGATTTTTAATAAACTGCCCGCACTGTTTCCACACTGTTTGTACAAGCTATGGAAATGGTAAAATCCTTTTCAGACTGTAAAAATCCCTGCTTGTGTGTGTGTGTGTGTGTCTGCTGCTGCTAGGGCAAACAAATATGAAAATTGAAGGCTTTCTGTTGTGTGAAGACATGAACTACATACTTCTATGGCCTTTAGCTTCAAGTGCCTCCTATTAATATCCAGAGACCATGACCTAAACAGAATTTCAACATTTAACAAAGTAAATTAAAAATGTTACAGGGTGATTCACCCCCCCTTTTTCCTCAGTTGTCCACTGCCTCCTGTCTTCTGCAAAACAGATTTTAGGAAAATGTACATTTGAGACTCTTTGCTTAAATGGAAACAGCAGAAAAGAGACAGCCTGCAGAAGGGAGAAAGAATTCAGCACATGTGTGACCATGTAATTGCTCCTGTAGACTCCTATGACAACAGCTTCAAGGGAAGATACCTTCATTCTGGCCCTGGTACACATACTGTTTCCTAGTTTACAGCTAGCATACCTAATTTCCAGTCTTTCAGCCTCCTCTAAGCCAATTATACTCCTTCAATGCTGTGAATTGTCATCCATAACAGAAGTCCCACAAGCCAAAATGTGCATTGAGTGACACATACGAGCCTGCTATCAACAGGGACGTGAGAACTTTCCCCTCAAGTCAAATATGTGACGTCCTCCCTGCGAAGCCAGGTCTGGTGAGCACTTCCCAGCAAGCATAAGCATCCAGTCAATCTTACCCTCTCCCCACTCAGCCACTTCTTGGGTCAGCTCCACAGTTCATGAGGCTGTACCTTAGTAATTCAGCTTTATTTTCTGTCACGAAGAAGAAATTGCTCAAAACTTGCTGCTAAACTGCTTCCACTTTGTCTGGTGAATGACCCTCTGCAAGTCTGGAATACTCCTGGTTACCCAACTCATTATTCACCAGAACTTTTTCTATTTGCCTCTCTAATTCCTTTTCCTCTCAACACAAAAACCAAAGCATAGTTATTTGAGTAGGATTTAAACACTGCCAGGTTGTAATGGCAACAGTTTACATCCCTTTATACAAAAGTCAGATATACCTCTATACCAGAAGATACAGGAAATTGATTTTATTTTAAGATTTTTTTCCCCTCTGGTGCTTGTGACAGTTTTCAGGGTCAAAGTCCCTCTACAAGAGGATTTGGTGAGGAGCACAGTGAGGCCCCAAGTCAGCTGCAGTCAGAACACCTGGACACAATTTGGGGCATTTTCATATTAAATGCTACAGGCATGAGCTCATATGCTGTCTTCAGATTCATATATTGGACTTTATGACTACAATATTGTCTTGCCTTTCATCAGAGAACGTGTGCTTGTGTGTGCTCGTGGATGCATGTCACTTTGTACAGAACCTTTCCTATGCATGTTTTAGCTGCTGTTCTGGCCATCTTTCCTCTGTTACAAGAACACTACATGTTTTCAGGGTCTAAGAACAACTCTCTGCTATTAAGGAACCTTACTACTTCACACATAAATCTTCAACAAAGAGTGTTTGATTGTCATTTAGAATGTAGAGTAGCCACAGAAATATGTGTTAATGGAAAGGATGAGCAAGTGAAAGAGCAGAGAGGGAAAGAAATTCAGCAGTTTGGTGCCCTAGAACTTTCTTTACCCTGAACACATGTTACTGTATCACAGAAAAACTAAAAGAAAATGCACTCAATCAGCCAGCTACTTATTACAACGTTGGAGATTTCCAAATTATTAGAGACTACAAAATGCAGCTTCTGCTCAAAACACCTGCAGAGGTAAATGGTGGGAGAAGGTGCTGATGTTTTTTAGCTTCTTCAAGAGTCCAGCTATTAAAATCCTGTTCAGACTTTATCCAGAAGCAAGAAACAGCGGGCAGTTCATAAAAAAGTAATGGGGAGATTCAGTCAATATAAAAAAGCGGCTGTGGTTTTTTGTAAAGAGAAAACCAAGGACAGGAATCAGGCAGCTCATGGAGGAATATCAATAGAAGGTAACTGATTAGATATCAGGTGTGTTAGGTGCTGTAACCACTGTCTTATTCTGCCAGTTTCTGATGTAGTAACTTACAAGCAAATTTTTACACGTATATGCCTGTGCCTCAGATAACCCATCCCAATCGGAAAGCAGTTCAGGTATCTCATATAAAATCAAAGAGAGAAGCAGTGAATCCAGTGTCCCCCAGGTAGTAACTGCTGGAGAGAGAGCTTGAAGAAAGCCAGCAAACATTTACAGAGTCAAAGAAGGGGAAGAGGGGGTTTGCATACAAACTTCTTGCAACATGGCTCATATAGGGTCATCAGTTTTTGCAGGCGCTTTTAAACAGAAATACTGCTCATCCTAAACATTAAAATACAGGATTCAGTGTGAGGAAATGCTTCTGGACTTTAAATAGTAATGTAATTAGGAGACCTAGGTTCTATTCCCAGAGCTCTACTTGTGTAATATTCACCTAATCAAAATGGTTTATTTATTAGATTGTAAATTCTTCAGGACAGAGGTTGGCTTGTACCGTGTGCCAGTCCTAAACATAGATTTGTTGTGAGTGGAGAAAGGGTCAGAGAACAACACAAGGGATCAAATAAAGTAAGAGGGGAAAGAAAGAGATTAACAAAATAAAGGTGATCTAGTTGAAGTCAAAAGTCTTAAATATCCTAAATTATTATTATTATTATTATTATTAGTCCTAAAATATTATCTGTTTTCTTTATTTCAGTGTTTACATTCTCTGAAAATGGCACAGACCACTTTGGAGAAGAACCAAAAAGCATAAATTCCCCGGTATGGACATAAATTTTGTGAGAATGCAATGGGAATGGGAAGTAATGTAAAAGGCTTGCTTTTATGGGTAGCTGAGGACCTTCAGTAGGTCTGCTGGGGCACTATTCTGGAGAAGTACCAATATCTGACTGTCATTTTTACACCATTTCGGGGCCACTGGCCACAGCTGGAAGCAATATACAGGTCTGGAGGGCTGCTTGGTTTACACATTAGTATCCCTTTTATGTTCTGTTTATTACAAATTGATATTATGAACACAAAAGATCCAGTGGAGAGGCCATGTGACAATAGAACTGCAGTAATATAAAAATAACAGATTTAATTTAGAAAATTATTTGGGGTTTTTTTAGGTGTGGGTTTTTTTTCTCTCCAGGTTACCAGTGGAGAAAGGGAGGAGAGTGAGTAGCCAGTCTTCTTTCTGAGAAGCCCAGTGTAAGCAGATATCTGCTTAAGGAAGTTATTTTCCCACTCTGTTTTTGAACCTGTGCACTGCACAAGTCTAGCTCCATCCATAACAAAGACTAGACACCTCCTATGATGCCAGCAATATACTCCTGGGCTCTTAAGAGTCATACATTAAAAGCAAGCAAAAGGCACACTAATTTTTAGGATATCACCCAAAAGACCAATTTCTGCAGATGTTTTGCTTGTGTTCTTTCAAAGCTTGGATTTTGATCTTGGGGTTCAAAGAATCTTATTTCTAAATGAAGATAGTTACTGCCTTAGTGGCTTGCAGTGTATGTTAACCATATTCCTCCAAGGTGTGAAAGCAATGAGATGATTCTGTCTCATTTCTTGGAAGATCAAGCCCTGATTCCTCAGATTATAATAAAGAGACCCAAATACCTGTGCAGGGCAATTGTTTACATTTTCTTTTTTTTTTTTTTCTTTGTTTAAAGGGACCATTTTATAAAAGCACGTTACAAATGAACACCTATGTTGCCTTGTACAAATTTGTACCACAAGAAAACGAAGATTTGGAGATGAGGTAAAGCGTCAAAATATGTATTATTTGCTTTGACCTGTGCAAACTTATGCTCATACGACTGTATATGACTTCAGGGGAGGGAGAGTTCATTCTGACATTTGCACTGAGCATTTTTTATAGATGTAACCACTTGTAGATAAAAAGATATTCTCACAGAAAAAATGCTGGTGGGCAACATTTTCAGCAAGGACACAACAAATTAAAAGTTTCAAAAACACTTATGTCACTTTAGGACCAAGATGGCTTTCACACAGAAAATATTCAGTTTTCAGTTGCTACGTTTTTTCAACCAGGATTTTTCAAGTAGGAATTCCTCACCAGCTCTCATGCTAATGCTGAACATTTTACAGGTCTTATTTGATTTTCCCTCATATTCAGATTATATCTTAGTAAAGAGAACAACGTCCAGCTGCTGGATGGCAATGTTTTCACACACGAAAGATGCATTCTTATCTTTGTAAAATAACCTCAGGAGTACATTCCAGCTTGCGTGTTTGTTCCATGAAGAGGGACACCACTCAGATGAGTCTGCACTGGGCTACCATTCTCATCAACTCATTAGCAATCCAGAAAGCAAAAATTCAGAAAATCCAGAAAATCCAAAATTCTCCTGTCCCTCATAGTAAGGGAAAAAACAACTTGTGCTGTGCAACCTGGCTTGTCTTGACTAACAGGCTTCTTCCAGAGATACCAGCCAGGTTTTAGACTACAGTTACTGAGCTACAGCAGCATTTGCTAGAAATTCAGTAATATATGTGTTAACATTGTTTCATAAGGGATGCCAAATAGTTGTATGCTCACTGCAAAGCCAGGCAGGATTCAGCTCAGTTGAATTAATTTTCATTTAACAAGTTGCTGGAGGTGGGTTCAGCATAGCAATGCTGTCAAGACTGACAAGCATTGTCCAGGGAACCCAAGTCATGGACCAGCCAGACATTTATCAGCCCTAATATAATGAAGGCAAGTAGCAGAAGGAGCTGAGCAAAGATGTGTTAAGGAAGATACCTGGAGATCTTAGCTCACCTCTGAGGAGATTCAATGGGTGGCATAGTACTGCAGTGGAGAGGGGTCTGATTGCAGCAGCAATTAGTACTTGCCACAACCTTGATTTCTTCCTCAACACCAGGAGCAGCCAGTAAGTTTTTCCAAAGCTCTGTCATAAGTAAAGTGGGACATTCCAGTAATACACTTACTCTCAGGTATTGCCTTATTTTACAGTAAGTAAGTAGAGAGTCCTGGAGACAGGCAACTCCAGGTTTCAGACTCTGCAAAGAAGAAGAGAGAGAAGAGAGAAGAGAAAAGAGAATATTTGGAAGGGACCTTCAACCACCATCTGTGGTTGCCTGCTCTCTTCAGGGCTGATGAAACACCTCTTGCCACCTACTGAAATCTAGAGCAGAGATGAAGAGAAGACAATTTATCCAGGGTTATGATTTACAGATTAAAAAGATGAGATGTGAGAGTTATTCCAACCAGTAGTAAACAAGCAAATAAACTACAATCCCCCTTCAGGGATTAGCAGCCTAAGTCTAGGAATCAAGAGTAATAGCTGGGACTTCTATTTTGAATGCTTTTTGGAGATTAGAGACATCAGAAAGCAAAATCCGCAGGTCTTGCATCTAAAAATCTCAGTGCTCAGACCATGGAAGTGAAGAGATTTTAGGTTCAGTTGCTATCTTTCTCTGACATCCAAATAGATTTGTATTTTCTAAGCTGTTTTACTAACAACCAAGCTGAAGGATATTTGGAGGATGGGACTTTCTACATCCTTCTTGTTCAACATGTTCTTGCATGCATTGTAATAACTCCAATGGTATGACAGGCTAGTCACTTTGAAGTGACAAGATGGTCTCCCTCAAAACCTCTCTAAGTGTTTTATATTAAGTATTTACTGGACTAAGGGACACAGATGTCCTTTCCCTTGGAGAAATCTTTCACTACTGGGATGCCAAGTTGTCCCTTTTCTCTAGCTTCCTTTCTCACCTCAGTGATGTAATCCAAACTCGCTGGAGCGAGGAACACTAGAGGAAAATCCTATCCTGTTGCCCTATTGAAACTGCCTTCTGTGAAAGTTGGAAAACTAGTTCAGATGAAGCAGTGTTAGAAGACTAAATGCCTGTTTTTCCAGTATTCAGCAAAAATTGTAACCATTGGGCAAGTGGATCACTCCGACCTCCAGCTGCATCCTAGGCAGGTCCACAGCTTCAGGGGATGCTCTGACAGAGCCTGCTAAATTGACCCATTATCATACTGCAGGTGTGTTTGCAAGCTCATGTGCTTGACAATACCATACCTTGACAATACAGTGAGCCTAACATGATATACAAGGAAAGCTGAATAATTAGGGGCCAACCATTATTTTCACTAAGATCAAGGAAGTGCCTCTTATCAAGCAGACAGAGCTTTCTGAGGTTAATCCATTTGGAAATGGGCTGCTGCCTATTTTCTACAAGTGCAGTGCTATTGTAATTATATAATAATGTTGATTAAATGCCACCAGTGGGGGGAAGGAGGTCAAATAACTGTTCAACTACCTGCACAAAATCAGTTCAGCACAAATTGCTGTTAGCATTTCCAGCCAAATTATTCCTCTAGCTCTGCTTTGGAACTAGTCAGCTGGATGCTGATACTTAGCAATTACAATCCTGCACCACACATTGTAAAAGTAAATATGTCTCATTCAAACAAAAAAGACATTCCTGGGCAGAATTATACCCCTTCTGACTAATTGCCTTTGTCAGTTAAATAGAACTCTTTTCCTGCTGCCTTCCTTCTGCAATCACAGCTTGAAAACACAGATGATAAAGTAGTGTGTCCCAACAATGTGAAATGTCTTGAAGTAGCAACATAATGCCTGTAACAATTAAGGACAGTATTTTAAACAGTTTGTTATCAGACAGGAAGCAAAAAATCCAGTTCACAGTTGTCTCAAAATAAAGATCTAGCCCCAGTATATGGAGACTCTCTTTCTACATCACCATGTATGATTTAAGAAATCCTTGATGCCTCATTGAGTCTACCTGAAGTGAATGCTCAAATGAAATGACCAAGGAAGGACCACCTTCCTATTAGAAGGCAACTGTGGGAGCTGATGTAGCATAACAATTAAGAATAATCTTAATTTTATTTTCCCCTTCTAACTACAGGCCAGGAGATATGATCACTCTTCTGGAAGACTCCAATGAAGACTGGTGGAAGGTATGCACTAATTGTATTTTATCTATCTGTTTTCTTTCCAAAGGAAACATGTTCTTTTCAATACTGAATTTGTGTTAAAGCTACTGATGTTAATGACCTTCTATCAATATGTTTTCTCCACAGGGGAGAATTGATGACAGAACTGGATTTTTTCCTGCAAACTTTGTTCAAAGAGTGCAACACGATGAGAAGATTTACAGGTGTATCAGGACATTCATTGGCTGCAAGGAACAGGGACAGATAACGCTGAAAGAGAACCAGGTAAATTCCCCAGTTCCTGTGCCAGATCCCAACCAGATTTGAGCATCAAACATTCTGTCCAGTGACTGGAAAATAGGTTCTGCAAGTTGAACACAGACAGCTGCTGTTCACTGCTATTTTATTATAAGATTTATTTTCTTATTGTAATAGCGTCTAATAGCCAGTTAACTGGGAACCACAGGGCTCAATCAGGAGTCTGTGGGAGAGAGGCAGAATTAGCCCCTGACATCAATAAAGCAAAGTTACTAACAAGGAGTCACACTAATACAACCTAATTTAGAGTTGGGCTTTTTGTGATTAAATAAAACAATTGATTTTAAATTGCACCAGTGATCTTGTGCAACAGAAATGACCCCAAACCACGACATTTGTAACAAGAATGGCAATCAGAAACTGTCTGCCTCATCCAAATGTGGACTGTGAGTTTACATAAAGGTCAATTCAACAGATCCATTTTGCAATGGATGTGTTTTATAAATATCACTGATGTAAACTAGCCCTGTTACAAAACACATCTCCCAGCCAGCTTCTGTAGTGACTGCCAATAGGCCATTGTTTGTTGTGATGGCCACAACCTCCAAACCAGAACTATCAGCCTGGCTGTTCCCTTGGCACCACAGCTCAAGGGCAAACTTTGCTCTTACTGCAACACCCGGTCACACAGATTTCAAAAAGAGTGGGTTTTAAGTACATGTACATTACCAGCTATGTGTAAGCCTGATCCAGGCACTCCAAGAGAGCCTGGGACTGGATTTAAACACATTCACCAAGTTAGGCTCAACAAGGCAGGATTGCAGCCCAGGTCTCCAGCCCCAGGGGATGCACCTGGCTTGGGTCTTCTGATTAATCTGGATGCTTTGTTGCTACCTCAGGTTTTTCACCTGACTGCCTAGGAATTACTTTATGTAACCACACTTTTCATCCTGGGATGCTCTAAAAGGAGCTGAACTTCCAAGAGCATGAGTCAGCTGCCTTTGAAAATCAATTGCATCATGGTGCCTTATGCATTCAGACTGAGTCACTTAAAACACAAACTGAGTGCTGAAAGTGATTTTGTGCCCTCTCCAGCAATAAATGCTGCACTTCACAGCTAGGCTTAAGGGGGAAAAGGTCTTTTTCCAGCTATCTCTGATTTTCCTTGAAGTCAATCTTGCTGAACAGAGAGGGGTGTCCCCATTCATTCAGAGATACGGAATGGGACTTAAGATTTGCAAGAGTGCAGAACACGAGCACAGCCCAGTATGCATCCAGTTTAGCCCAGGTAGTCTTTAAAACCCTAAATAAGTGCTGTAGGTAAAGCAAGCTGATGTCCTTGGTCCAAAAGCTAATGAATCAGCTGATATAAAACCTGTCATTATCATTTGCACTATGGCTGAGTAAGTGTGAATACAGAACTACTCACTATTTCCATCCAAAAAGCTCACCTAGGCAAAAAACTTTAGTGCACGGGCAACAGAAGATATAGAAACTCACAGTGTCCCTGTGCTGTCATTCTTACAGAGAAGCAGAAGACTTCAGCTTTCAGACTTCTTGACCTGGTACTGTCTGCAGGCTCCTGGACAGCTCTTGATATTCTGCTGTCCTCATAACTAAATTCCTATTTCATCAGAACCAATCTGTGGCTGACAGATGGGTTAAATATACAGGACAGAGAAGATAAGCAAGACAGCTGCAGAAAATTAGAGCAAGTTCGAAATTGCTCCTGGACAAAGAGAATTTGCCCAAATTCAAAGCACAGGACTTAGAAGCATAGAAGAGCATTACTGACTATGCAGCTTAAAGGATCCTTTCCTAATTGCTCATCTCCCCCATCTGCTGACTGGCACGTAAAAAATCCTCAGGGCAGATGTTGACAAGTTCAGACAACAGTGATGATCTGAACAGTTGTTTTGTTTTTAGTGTTTTGGGGTTTTTTTTAAGAAAATGAGATGAAAGAATGAGAAAATGCCTTTATAATATTAGATCTCACTTTCAGCTATTTCTGAAGATTTCTTGATAACTGAGAAATGGCCTGAGATCAGGTTTCTTACCTGGTGGCTCACTCCACTACTAAGCTCTTGAGCCAGGGTACAGGGGAAACAAAACCCATCAACAGTTTGTCTCCATTTGTGTTGCTGGAGATGGCTGCTCAGTGGCTCACTTACCTTGTCAAGCCAGCAACTTTCCCCCAGATACATGCCAGCTTGAGTAGCTGCCATTTCAAGCTGTTTAAAATTTGATCAAGAGACCTGCACTGCCTGGTGTTAGCTGTGGTATCTTGTGCCTTCAAAACTGTCACATTTGCTGTCTGTCACAAAGACTAGTCCTCAGTGATAGCTGATTCATCAGATGGAGACCAAAACTCTGGACGTTACCATACACTTATCTGGGGGTTACTGATCTAAACTCACCTAAGAATGTCAAGAGGCAAATCCCATTTGTGGGTGAAATCCTTGGTAGCACTCACAAAAGAGGATGAGGACAAAGTGGTCAAAGATGGTGGTGTGTTCCCTCTTTTCTGCAACTGCAGAATTTGGAGCAGATCCAGGGCTTTTCAAAGCTCCAGCAGCTGCCACACAACCAGGAGACCTTCTGAGTCACACAGGATCAGGAAAGTATGGCATATTGTGGCCGAGCTGCCTCTTATCCCAACATATCCCTTCCTTGGCCTTGTATTCCTCATGCCTAGTGAAGATCTAGAGCTATTGCTAGCAGAGCAGTCCTGCTGATATGAAGGATCACTCAAACCAGCAACAGGAAAAAAAAAAAATAAACATCTCTAAAAAAGACCAAATCTGCCATCCTTTTTCACTCCAAAGGTGAAGAAAACCAGTGCTCAGAAAGTTCAGTATATTTCTTTTGTCTACAAATCATTCTGCTGACAGTAGAAGACATCAGGGAAAAGCACTGTGTTTTCACAATATGTTCCTCACAGCACCAGAGGTTAAGCAAGAAATGCAGCATGGCTACTGAACAGTGCAGACCTGCTGGAGGTCGCTTCTGAAGGTCTGACTTCTTTGGGTGGGTTTTTTTGGTCCATGGAAAGATCTGGAGGTCTTGCAGACATCTTTAGCTAGGAGGAAAGTACAGTGATGGAGTCAAGCATTCCTTTTACTCAGCCAGATCTGATTATGGAAAAGCTGCAAGGGCTCTTTTTCCCACACAGCAGCAGGGATATCAACCGAGGAGGAACACCTTTTAGCCAAGATGCTCTTAACAACTCCTGGATACTTTGCCATACTCAGCCATCCTGAGAGTGGTGCTTCTTTGCAGGCTTTTTCTCTCACTGTTGAAGTTTTCATAGTCTTCCTCAGAGACACACACCAACATCTGGCAGCAGTCAGAAACACCTTTCTGTGTACATGTACTTCACACCTCTGCTTCCAACTGTGATGTGACTGGAGAGGCAGCAGCTGCTGTGCTAGGGTTTCATGACATGAGTGAGCTGGTCTCTTTTGACACAGTACCTAAACTAATCAGCATTAATTCCATAGCTCTCCCATGCTTTCTGTGTGATTTAGCCCAAGAAACAATACATTCTTTTTTTTAATCAGCTCTGTTGCTGTGCTCAGTCATCCTGCCCCAGGGATCCATTTCAGTTAGTATTAACTCTGTAGCTTAAGGAAGAAAATTCATTAGTCCTTTTGCTTTCCAAACCTTTGTTTGCAGGTGCAGAGATGCACCTGACCACTTCCAAGTACTGTAGGTGGCAAATACGAAGCAGCTTCAACTCCATCTTATGACCTTTCACTTCCCTCTGGCATCACCAGTGCTGCTAGTAAATTTTATGTATTGAATAACAAGAGGACAAGCTGTCCCAGTGTTCAGATGTGGAATTGATGTGTCACCATACAATCCATAACAGTCATGCTGAAATGAATTTCACTAGGAACATTTTTGTGCCATTTTTGTTCATTTCATACCCTCTGAATTATTGTCATTAAATGCTGTTAACACCTGTCAGACATAGCTTTTGTGAGCGTTAGTCCAGACAGCTTTAAAGACCTGGCACTGACATCATGAGAAATGAGTGAGTCAGTCTCAATAGGACCATCAGTTTTATGGCTATTTTTTAGGAAACACATAGTTCCTCGGTACGGGTGTTTGAAAACAAGCCTTTTGTGTGGCTCTGAGCTCAACTGCCAAGTAAAAAGTAGCTGTGTCACTAGACTTCCAAAATGGCTCAGCCATTACCAAAAAAGTCTCAGGATGGGCCCTAAAATGGAAATACCTGAGATCACAAAATCCTTCAGGAAATGCAAACATTTACCTATATTTTGCACTATTGTAAAGATCACATGGTTTCACTATAATTGCCTCCATTTGGAGTAGGTGTTACACAAACATACTCAAAGAGCTGGATTCAGATCAAATACTTTGGTATCCACAACAGGCACAGGCACCTGTAGGTGCAATAACTGAGTAAATGACATGACCCACTTCCCATCTGGAAAGTACTTGGGCTCCTTGAACATGCAGAAGAGAATATGCTTGCATTCAGATCAGCTGTTACAAGTGACCCAGCTTGGCATCATGATTACCTTTTGCCACCAACTGTTGAGGGAGCCAGCTAGCTCATGGTGTGAAATACCCAGTCCTGTCATACACAGACAACTAAATCACAATCATAACAGTAGGCTGAAGTAATAATTCAAACTTCCAAGCCCTTGATCTGCCATAAAGTTCTTGACAACTTTAATGTCTCCCATGTATATGTGGCGCTTCAGAGAGGCAGTGGGGAAAGGTAACCAAGTATATGAGCTTGAATTTCTTATCAAAGCAGAGAAAGCCTAAAAGGCATTGTTCTGCTTATAGAAGAAACTAGCAGGATGTCTAACCTACCTGATACATAGCCTGGAATAATTTGTTGCTTGATCATGGCAAAGAGTTCATTATTTTCTCACTTTCTTTGCTTTCAGATTTGCGTGACTTCTGAAAAGGAACACGACGGCTTTATCAAAGTATACAGCGGGAAGAAAAAAGGCTTTGTCCCCATAGACATCTTAGAAAACATCTGATTTCAACAGCCTGCTTGCTGCAGTAGGAGCCCTTTGTTGGCAATGCCTGTCTGCCTCATCTCACACTGTGTCAACCCAGTCGGGCTGTCTTGCAGATGTTCAGGGAAACAGTGAGAAAACTGCAACTACAAGAAGAAAAAGACATTTAGACTGCCACAGCAACATTAAGAAATTAGAAAAGTGCAATGTTTGAAAGAAAATATAGTCAGAAACCACTAGGGAAACGAGAGGTCCTTGGATACTAACAGGAATAAGATAAAGAAAAAAGAAAATCTGGGCTGATTTCTCGTGCAAGGCGGCTGTTACGACCCTGATGGAGACAGACAGCTTGTTCTGAAGGACTAAACTCGTGTCCTGTTCTTGTGTCTTAGAAAACTGTTGGACTGCTTTCTTGTTTGAAGTGTGTGTTTAGGGGGAGGGGGTAAAATACCATTCAAACTGTCTCTGTACTACAGTCCAATGCTTGTAGTCAAGTGTGGCTGTGGTTCTACAGTTTTGTTCCTGGTATCAACCGCTCAGTTTAAGCACGTAATCCTGGTGTGTAGTCTCATCAGAAAGCAGTTTGGAGACACTATGTGAACGTCAGCCCAAGAAATGCACTGTGCCCTGGAAGTCGGCAGCTTTCTCTTTCTGTGCAATCTTCCCATATGAAAGAGTAGCAAAATTTTTGTGTCCTTTGTTGTCTCTGTACACGAACAAAAGCTCTCAGCATGTGTCGGGTGTGATGGCTGCTCTCATTGCTCAAAAACAGCTGGTCCTCCAGCTATTCACAAGCCTGTTTGGAGGCATCCCTCTGTGTTTCTGCACCTTTGCCTGGTGATACAGGAAATGGGTGAAGTGCTGGGAGAGAGCCACAGGCTTGAAACGTTTTATATTTTTTTGTGTTTATTGCACTTAAAATATTTTATATATTAATCCTATTTATAAAAAAATGAAACAGTTAACTAGCCCCCTGTAAGTCTGAAAGTGCTAGGAAAGGACAGACTGCACACAGAAATGAAGTCTCTAATGATCAAAATCCAGAACTTGTGACAGAAAAGCACTGAGTGTCTTAGCATTGTGTTCACACACCAAAGGCATCTTCTTCGTTTGCTAAACAGATGTTTTGCAGATTCAGCAGTAAATACACTGCCATTAATTCCTCCTTGGCATAAACCACCCTGAGCATCCTGCAAATCATCTCCACCCCAGTGACACTGTGCACACCAGGCCTGGTTTGTCCATGTAATCCTCCATCTTCAGAGATGTCTTGGGCATGTGAATCTTTCGGTGCTGGAGAGCAGTCTGTGGGAACTGTGGTTCTTGCCCAAATTACACGTCAGCCAATGCCAATCCTGTTGTAGAGCAAGGGCCTTATGATGTTTAAAGACAGGGAACTTAATTTCCAAGTATTTAATTGGATGTAATTGCACCAAACACGTTTAAACAGCTTAGCGTGTATTACAATGCAGAGATTAAGTCCTATCCCAAAGCTCCCTGCTGAATTCACGCCTTATTGGACCATCTTGAGACTGAATGCCAGTCTTTACTGCAGATAACCCCAAATTGATGTCCTAAATCTTCATACTGCAAAAAGAAATTCACATGCTGCAGGGTTAGTATAGGCCTTTGCAAAGTTGCCACTGTTTCTAAAAACAATCTAGCAGTCCTGCTTCCATATACTGAGGCGGTTTGATTCTGTGTTGCACGACCCAGGTCTCAATAGTTGGGCTGCCCTATTTGAGTAGCTGATCTTATACAAAGCCTTATGAAACCCAGTGCAACTCTACACATGACCAGAAGTTCACAGAGCAGATCAATCTTCAACCTCTCAGAGAGGCATTTTACAGCCCATGTATCTTGTATTTAGTATCACCTAATTATAAGGGAGGAAGTTGTGGGGTTGTCAACTGCTGAAACGTGGTCCTATACCAATTATTAATATCTTCGTTGCTGATCAAAAGTATCTGATTTCATATCTTCTGGGGGAATATCAGCAATTTATAAATGGGGTGGGTTTTTTCAGTTCAAACAATAAACATTTGTTCAGCTCATTTTCCTAAGTAACCAGTAAATTCAATGGGAGGGAGAAGATTCTCATAAGCCTTAAAGATCAAGAAGAAAAGCAGTTGATATGTATTAATCCACTCTGCTCTGTAAGCTTTTTATTTTTTTTATATATTTATCCATTCAAAGGAAGAACTCAAGTGTTCATTAGAATTAAAATGCTACTTTTGATCAGACTTTTCAAGTGGGCAAAGGAAACCGATTTCAATCTATACATTTGTGCTGTTGTTTACATGATTGCATCATACTGTGATTCCCTCCTATTTCTGTCTTCTATGATTTCTATTTATCTCTACAATGTGCATCACACTATTCAAAGAATTATATTAATATTACCTACAACTCACAATGGCCTTTAATCAATGTCAGTTTGATTCCTTTTGATACTGAGCAATAAATAATAAAGTGACTGAGTAAAAACAAAACAGACCTTATGTGGACTGTATTACATCTGAGAAAACATTGCTTCTAAACCAAAGCTGTCATGGTTATCCTTTCTTTGTGTTGTTTGTTGGGGGGTTTTTTTGTCTTTTTACTGGGCTTTCGCTGCCATTTGATATGAAGATGTAATTTATGCCTAATTGAGCAAGAAGCACATACATGAATCTTATTTTAAGCATGTAATTCATTGGCTATTTGCATGCTTAGCCCTGAAGTGCTTTGCTGAATTGAGGTAATTTTCCTCAAATTTATTTTGTATGCCTTACTCTGAATCCAGAGGGGTATCCCATATTCTTTTTCCTACCATATGCAGTTCACAATATATACTGCATTAGCAAGCAGTTAGAAGTCAGACAGAAGATGGAATGGACTTTATCTGGCATATGATTAAAAAATATATATAATTTTAAAAGATAAATGCTGTTCACATTTAATTTAATATTCTACTTAATAAAGACTATGAGTTGATTGGAAGGAGAAGAGAAGTGTATGTTTCTTGGCTTCTTTGCATCAGATGTATCATTTTCAGTATTCACCTTCAAGAACATTCACTAAGCTCATCAGCAAGGGATATTGAGCATTCTCATCTGAAATCTGCAGCGTTTGCATTTGCCATGTTTAGCAAACCATTTCTGAAGTAGTTCTTTTGCAATGTGTGTAGCATGTGTCGACTCAGAGTGAAGTTTTGTAGTAGGGCTAGTCTGAATATTTGTTTCTGGCAGATCAGGGTGCATGTATCACAAGAAGGATGTGGACCTGTTGCAGCATGTCCAGGGGAGGGCAACGAAAATGGTCAGAGGGTTGGAGCACCTTTCTTATAAAGACAGGCTGAGGGAGTTGGGGTTATTCAGCCTGAAGAAGAGAAGACTCTAGGTGGACCTTACAGCAGTCTTTCAATACCTGAAAGAGGCCTATAAGAAGGCTGGGGAAGAACTGTTCACAAGGGCATGTAACAATAGGACAAGGAGTAATGGTTTTAAGATAGAGAAGAGTACAATTAGGTTGGACAATAGGAAGAAGTTCTTTAATATGAAGGTGGTGGATCACTGGAACAGGCTGCTGAGAGAAGTGGTGGAAGCCCTGTCCCTGGAGACGTTCAAGGTCAGGCTTGATGGGACTCTGAGCAGCCTGGACAGTGTGAGATGTCCCTGCTTATTGTAAGGGGAATGGACTGGTCCCTTCCAACCCAAGACATTCTATGATTCTATTTTAAGCCATTTAACGTCTCAACACAGCATAGAATAGAGTATTTCCATAAGTGCTTGGAACAGTTGAACATGAGTTGTGGACGAGCTGCCTGAATCATGATCTCCTCTCATCTCTAAGTAACACAGTATCTCAGTTTATTATCATCTTTCTCTACACTTGGCCATTTTGACTCAGTGAACAAAGACACTTAGTCCTACAAGTATTGTGTACCCTTAGCACTGCTTACAGGCCTGTTGTTTTTTGGGGTTTTTTTGTGTGTGTGGGAGGTTTGGTTTTGTTTTGTTGTGGGCTTTTTTTTTTTTTTTTTTGTAATTATTTGTTGACATTCATTTAACTAAATATAGCACCCAGTGCCATCAGAGGAATTTGCATAGGGCAAGCAGGCAGGAACATTGGAGATTTAGAAGAGCCATGACCATCTAAGGAAGCCACAGCAGACCATGTAGGTTGTCTAAAATGGCCCTAGACATATGTCTTCGGAAAATGAACCCAACTCATTAATTTAAATATGTGCAGACAGGTCTGCTTT